TTTCAACCACATGGGTTGAATGCAATAAGAAAAACTTGTTTGATAAATTGCGAGGAATATTGACTAAAGGGGGACAAATGAATAACTGCACTGACAAGAAAGCAAGGGACAACTGTAAGGTCAAAAAATTGAGGTCTGGCCTGATAGCCTGGCGGTTAAAGTCCTTGCCTTGAACGTGCCGGGATCCCATATGGGTGCTGGTTCTAATCCCAGCAGCCCTGCTTCCCATCCAGCTCCCTGCTTGGGAAAGCAGTTGAGGATGGTCCAAAGCCTTGGGACCCTGCACCTGCGTGGGAGACCCGGAAGAAGCTTCTGGCTCCTGGCTTCGGATTAGATCAGCTCCAGCTGTTGCGGCCGCTTGGGGAGTGAACCATCAGACAGAAGACCTTCCTCTCTGTCTCTCCTCCTCTCTGTGTATCTGCCTTTCAGATAAAAATAAATAAATCTTTAAAAACATGAAGTTCAAGCAGTGAACCAGCTTGGGCTGCCCGGAGTGGGGGCCCCATAGATGTGTGATGGGGAAGGTGGGCAGCTAGGCTACGGAGTCACCTTGGCCACCAAGGATCGGAGGTGAGAATAGCCAGCAGTCCCCAAAGGAGGAGGCCTGGGCCTTGGGAGGCAAAGAAGGTGAAACTGAGGCCTCTATAAGTATTATGCACAAGAAGGCATCCCTTAAATTTCCTAGTCACAAATGTTCCTTCCTTTGGAACTGTGATTTATATTCCATTACTACAGAGTGTAGGATCTCAGCTCACCAGGGCTTAATGCAAATCAGGGGCACAGTAGATACAAATCCACACCCTCAACCCAGACCTTCTAGCAGGGAGAGGGACAGAGAAAGAGAGAGAGAGAGAGAGGGAGAGAGAGAGAGGGAGAGAGAGAGGGGGAGAGAGGGAGAGAGAGAACCACTCTCATCCACTGGTTTGTACCCGCAATGGCTGAGACTTGATAAAGATGATGCTGAGACCCAGGAACTCAACCAATGCGTGCCACGTGGGTGGCAGGGGCCTACTGACTTTAGCCACCACTGATGCTTGCAGGCTCTGCATCAGTGAGAAGCCGGAGTTGTAAATTAAACCCAGGTACTCTCGTGTGGGACCATGCCTCTTTTTTTAAAAAAGATTTATTTTTCATTATTTTTTCATTGGAAAGGCGGATATACAGAGAGGAGAGACAGAGAGGAAGATCTTCCATCCGATGATTCACTCCCCAAGTGAGCGCAACGGCCGGTGCTATGCCCATCTGAACCCAGGAGCCTCTTCTGGGTCTCCCACGCGGGTACAGGGTCCCACGGCTTTGGGCTGTCCTCCACTGCTTTCCCGGGTCACAGGCAGGGAGCTGAAAGGGAAGCAGGGCTGCTGGGATAGAACTGGCGCCCATATGGGATCCTGGAGCATGCAAGGCAAGGACCTTAACCACTTGCGCCACCGTGCCAGGCCCAGGACCATGCCTCTTAACAGGCGTCTACCTAACCAGCATCTCCAGCATTAACCCAAATGTCCGTCCCGAACTGCCTACTTCCAAAGAGAAGACACACTCAGAATCCATGAACAAAAGTTGAATGCAAGAGTACAGAAAACACCTGCAAAGTGTCAGCCCAAAGAAAGTGGTGTGGTTGTATTAAGGGCAGACAAGGTTGTCCTTCAGGCCAAAAGGGATATTGGAAAGAAAAAATCATCAAATAACACGAAAAAGAAAGAGTTCCCTGGAAAGATACAATTATATCTCTCAGGCACCTAAAAATAACATCACATTATATAAAGCAAAAAAAAAAAAAAAGAAAAGGATAGAATTTCCTAGCGTCATGGACACTTCTATAGTCTCATTGGGAAAAGTTTATCCATCTTTTTGTGTCACAAAGACAAGAAGAAAGGATGTAGGAATTCCAAGTAACAGAACAAACACAACCAAGCGGAACAACGTAGACAACAGACACTCCGCGAGAATGAACAGCATGCTGGCCAAGAGATGGGTCCAGAAGCCACAGAAAGAGCCATCCTTAAAAGAATTCATTTATTTATGGAAAGTCAGAGTTACAGGGAGGGAAAGATGGTGGGGTCGGTGGGGAGAGAGAGAGAGATCTTCCATCTGATAGTCCTTTGGAAATAGCTCTTGATATCAGCCCTGGGCCGACTAAGAGCCCAGTAGCAACATAAAGCCAATCCAAATTCAACATGCAAGCACTCACCTCACCAACATAGCATAATTTAAGGAACTAAACTACAGTGGCAAGAGAATTTGGTCCCACCATAGGCAAAAACATGATAGGGTGCAGAATCAGGCACACTAATAGATGCAAATTTATAGGTGGCAGGTTAGGGAAGAAGCACGACTTTTAGCAGGCAGCACTTGGAACAACTGATGGTCCATACAGAAAGAATAACCTAGATCCCAACATGGAACCAACTGAAATGGATTAAAGACTTGTTTAGGAGAAAGCATGACTTTGAAAGTTTGGGATGAAACTGAAGGAAAAACATTTCTGTGCTTTCAAGGAAAGAAAAGATTTTTTTTTTTAAACAAAATGCACACATAAAAAAAACCATAAACTTGACTACATTAAATGTTTTTTAAAACTTCCGGGCCGGTGTGATAAGCCTAGCAGCTGAAGTCCTCACTTTGAATATACTGGGATCCCATATGGGTGCTGGTTCTAATCCCAGCCGTCCTGCTTCCCATCCAGCTCCCTGCTTGTGGCCTGGAAAAGCAGTTGAGGGTGGCCCAAAGCCTTGGGACCCTGCACCCGTGTGGGAGACCTGGAAGAAGCTGCTGGCTCCTGGTTTCAGATCGGCTCAGCTCTAGCCATTGCTGCTGCTTGGGAAGTGAATCAACAGATGGAAGATCTTTATATCTGTATTTCCAATGAAAATAAACAAATCTTTAAAAACAAACAAATAAAATCCTTTCTTTTGCACATTAAAGAAATCATAAGCAAAGTGGGGAACACACATCGTCAGGTTGGGGGAGGTATTTGGCAGGCATCTCAGCAGGGAAGGAGCTGGCGCAGTTTGTAAACGGTGCTAATGGAAATGGCTGAAGGATGTGAATGGGCACCCCTCAATAAAGGCACCTGAAAGGCTCAAAACGCATGTGCAACCAGCACCAAGAGGGTCAACAAATACCAGGAGACAGGCAAAACAGAAAAAGAAAACATCTGACTGTGCTAAGCTCTACCAAAGGGGCTGTCAACGGGGTATGGCCTTGGCAGGCCAGATGGCAGATCTAACAAGGCAGGGACTGCTGACCCAGTTTGGGCACCTTGTCTTCCCTGATTATAACGCCAGGTTTATACTCAAGATATATATCCCCAGGTAGGGATCTAGCAGAAGGCCCAGAGGAAGGCTCATAGATCTCAGTTATACTTTGTTTCTTTTCATTTTTAAGAATTTCTTTTTTATTTATTTGAAAGGCAAAGCCAGAGGGGATAGAGAGAGGGAGGAAGAGAGGGAAAGGATATGGCCACCATGGCTGGGGTTGGGGCCGGGCCAGGGCAAAGCTGGGAACTAGGAATTTCATTCTGGATCCACATGGGTGGTGGGAGCACGAGCCCTGGGTCATCTCCTGCTGCTTTCCCAGGTGCGTTGGTAGGGAGCTGGATCAGAAGTGGAGCGGCTGGGACTCAAACTAGGGCCCTGATATGATGCAGGCGTCCGAGCTGGCAGTGTAATCCTTTGCATCACAATGCCAGCCCCTGAAATGCTTTGCTCTTTACAACAAACCCGTATAGCGATGTGTTCAATTCTGTCGTTTCCTGTACCTCTTTCTGTCTGACTAAAAATCTCCCAATTAAATTTTTAGTTAAATGAGGGTTGCGGGGAGAAGGCGCTCATGTGTAACCGATGTGACCATCAGCCGATAGAGGCAGCGGTAATTTAAGTCTCTCTGGTAATGCTGCTCCTGGCTGGATAAAAGTCTGTGTTGGCCACGCCAAGGAAACAGGTGCCCTCCGACTTTGCCAGTGGAACTGTTGTGTTGCCCTCCTGGAAGGGCGTTCTGGCAATGTTTAACAACATGTAAAATCCCCCTCCCTCGACTTAACCCCGTTTCCTCTAAATATTCATTTTAAGAAACAATATCAGAACTAAAGTTTATCTCTAGCCGAGCTCATCATAGCAATCACATCATGGTAATATTCCTAATGTGAGGGGAAAAAACAAACCCCTACATGTCTAACACTTCATGTTCTGCTTTATGGTACAACCACACTGGAAACTTGCAAGACCACTGAAAAAGATCTTCAGACTTGGTGATACTGTGCCACTGCTTGCAAAATATGAAGCTAAATCAAAGTCAGTACAATGCCAGGTGAAGGGCACACCTTCACCTGGAAGAGTGCCAAAACGTTAACAGTGGTTGTCATTCCACTGTCTTCTAGAATTCCAACTTTGTCGAAGGTTTTTGGAGACGGGGTGTATAATTACTGTAACTAGGGGAGGTTTCCTTTGCTGAAATAATTTACACAGGGAAGTACTGACAGCCCCTTGGCGGAAGGCAGGGACCCTAGTCCTGTAGCCTTACCCCGTTCCTATGGAAGTCAAGTATGTCTCTTTTTAAGTCTCTGATCATCACAGAACCCCGGGGACCAGGGAAGCGGGGAGGGGGGGGGGGCTTGGGTTCACCAGTGGCATCGCCACGCTCAGGCTGGGCTTCTTTGGAGCAGCTGCCCACCTTCTCTGAGCGTAACCAGCTCCCGGCGTTGCTTTGTAAGGTCACCAGGCCGGTGTCACGCGTGCGAACGCGGTTTGCGAAGCCCCAAGCGCGGGGCGTTCCGCAGGGCTGGCGGCGACCGCGGCCCCGCCGCAGCAGCGACGCGAACTCGGGGCGCGCCGGGGGAGGAGGGGGTGTCTCGGGGACGCGCCGGGGGAGCGGGGGCGGAGCTGGGGGCGGGCGTGGGGCGCCCCGACAGGCGGTCGCCCGCTTCCGCCGCTGCCGGGGGATCCCCAAGACTGCGCGCGGGGAAGTCCCGGAGGCGCCGGGTACAAGAGCGCGGGCTGCGCGGGCGCGCCCCAGTTCGGCAGCCCCGGCGGCGGAGGCGCAGCGTCCCGGCCATGTCGCGCGGCCTTCAGCTCCTGCTCCTGAGCTGCGGTAGGGCCCCCCGCGAACGCCCGTCGCCCCCCGCCGGCCTGCCACGGCTGCTCCTGGCCCGGGCTCATGGAGCGCTCTCTCTTCTCTCCTTCTCTCTCTCCCTATCTTGCAGCCTGCAGTCTGGCGCTCGCCACGCGGGAGGTGACAGCAGCTTGCGGGGAGGATGTGGAGTTGCCCTGCACCGCCCCCTGGGACCCCCAAGTCCGCTACACAGCCTACTGGACCAAGGTAAGCTCAGCTACTCGGGTCTGGTCGGCTCCTTGGCGTCCAGCAGGGATCAGCTCCCTTTCGGGATCGCGACCCTTTGGGGCTGGGGGAGACCGGAGTGGTGAGGTCTTCTGCTGCTAACCCCTGGGTACCCAGAGCCTCCCCGCAGGCCTGTTCTGAACCCATCCGCACCGGGTTAGGAGGCCAACTGAGATTTCATTAGCTGAAGACCTCTCCAGGTAGCTCCAGGTAAATGATTCCAGTAAGATGTTCTGGAAACGTGGAGACTCTCCCCCTTGGATAAGCTCTGGGAAGCACGAAGAAGAGCAACCATTGCCCCATTAGATGGAGCCTTGGCAGGGAAACATGTCCTCAGCCTTTTGGGGTGACAGTGATGTGCATGAAGCATAGGAGGGAGCTGGGCAGTCGGAGAAAGATTGAAAACTAGAGGTATTTAGGCTGCTGGGCGGGTGGCAGCTATAGGTGGTCATCCCCCTTCTGCCAGACCTGCCCGCCTCCCCAGTTCCTGCTTCTCCTTCCTGTGGCAGTTGAGAGAGCGGCCCTGTGACCAGGGCATCGGTGAGGGTGCATGAGCTGGAGACCACGTGTGTTCTTGCTGTGAAAAGACCAAGTTCCTCCCAGGCTGCTGAAAGGTTTCCCTTCACCGGGTTCCAAGATCGACATTCTCCAGGCCTGGCAGAGCCAAGTAGCCCCTGCCAGCTGTTGCTGGCACCTTTTCCTGGCCCCTTCTCTGAGTCAGGTTCTGGCCACAGCAGCACCTCTATGCTAAGCCAATGAGAATGATAGCCCAGGCTCGCACAGTGGACTCTCTGGGATTTGCCATGTTAGAGGGAACAAGACTTTCTTCTGCATGCCTTCTGAGAGATGCAGTAGGAGCTTGCACATGGGACTGGTGTGTGTGTGTGTGTGTGTGTGTGTGTGTGTGTGGTGTGTTCACTTCCCCAGGGCTCAGGGGCTACAGGATACTTGTGTGTTAGCCTATGTGTCACTCGCTGTCTGCCCTGATCATTACAGGGCAGGTGCTTGCTGCGTTTGCACAGGGGAGATGGTGCCGCTGCTTCCAGCACTCACGTGTGGAGGTGTCAGCATGCCCGTTTTGTTTGCGCCTTATTCTCTGTGGGATCAGAACTCTCCCGAAATTCTCATAGTCAAGACAAGGGTAGTTTTAACTGTGTCATAAACCACACCATGGGCCAAGCCACGCTCTCTCTGCGCAGCATTGTGATTCCCAGAAAGGTAATGTTGCTGCTTTAACAGGTGTGGGAGCTGCACCCTGGGGAGTGAATAGCCTGGTCTGGTCCACAGGCTGGACCGTGGTAGGCGTTGGGCTTTGCCTCCGGAGTCTGGGCTGGAGGACGTTAGCTATTTCTGTTTTCTACCTTAATTACTTAAGCTACAGAAAAATCCAAGTATCCTGAGGCTAGTCATGCATTGGACTTTGTTATCTTCAAGAAGAGGGAATGCACAAAACCACTATCCCTTCCAGAGAGTAATTAAAATAAAGGAAAACATTATTAATATCCCCAGGGGAGTAATTAAAAAGGACTCATGAAACCAGCAGATGAAATTTCAGCCTGTGAAGTGCAAGCGGTTGTCGGCTTCAATCTTCTCGCACAGGGTCATTGAGAATGATTTAGTAAATCAGAGTAATTAACCTTTGCCCTCTCCTTGCTTGGCGGCTGATGATGTAGCACTATCGTGTGTGTGCCTGTTTACTGGATGTGGTTCCTGTAAGATTTATCCTGAAGGATTCTCAATGTTCTGTCAAAAAAAAAAAAAAGCCAGAGAATTCTAGAACATTGAAAAAGCAGACCAAAGCGATTTCTCAAAAAGTAGATTATGATTGAGATTCTGGGCTGGGAGAGTTGGACTTGGCCGGGAAGCCAGTTGGGTCCCCTGGAAGCGATGTGTGTGGCATGACCAAGGATGTATGCATCTTCTGTTGACCATGGAGACTGGAGCTTTCCTAGCCCAGTCATTATTCTTGTGTATAGACTGTGTTTGCACAAAAACAACAGGCATTGTGTTCTAGAAGGAAGGTCAATACACAAGAGTGAAATACCTCATTTCCCAGAAGCCCCAGTGTCTTGTGATTTTCCCCTCTGCTCCAGTGACTTGGGGGACTTGAATCCTGGTGACCACAGCCGGCCACTCTCGGCTCACCTCATGTCTCTTTCATTACTCCACGCAGGAGTAAGCAGAGTCCCCTGGAGTGGGTGTTTGCCGTCCACCAGCTCAAGTCATATTCTTGTCAGCCTTCTGCAGGTGGCAATTATTTGTTAATGACTCTCAGTTTAAAATTCCATGTGCTGCTCTGTCCTCAGGCACTCAGAGCATCCCGTTGCTGTCCACCTGGCACTGTGTATTACACAGGACTCCAGTAAACTGCGTTTTCTTTGTGTTTTTATTCATCATATGCCTTTTACCAAAAAAACTCAATGTAGATGGTGTCCAATCAGTGTCTGTGACTCCACTGTGAGTCGGGAAGGAGCAGTGTCCATTGTAGTCTCTTTAGAGGGGGTTGCAGGGTCCTCACTGCAGGGCAAAGCCATAGCCAAGGCGGACAGGGACAGCCCAGTTCTTGCCAACCCAGTTCTTCTTTCCTATGGACCTGTGCCCTCCTCACTGAGATAGGACAAAGGGGGTACCTCTCCAGGACTTGTGTCTCCTATGAGGTAGAATGGGTGACTGAAAGGAAATAGAAAAGCTACTAAGTTATCACCCTTAGAATGGTGGATCCATTTAGCTATGAAAATTGAAATAGAGTTTGGTTCTTTGCGGGAAGAAAGTTGGAGCAAAAAGGCAAGTATGCCTTTAGTCGGTTACTCTCTGGTTGAATTCTGGCCCAAGAGGGCATAGCTGAAATGTGTGTGCATGGGGTAAGGTCTTATAGGTGAAGGACTGTGGCAGAGCTCCCTGCTGAATGTCTGTGCTTACACTGAGTCCAGTGAAGATGCTGTGTTTGGAAACAGAGGTCTGGGTGCAAGAGATGGGTGCGGTTGATATCCTCTGGAGTAATGCTGAGTGGTCATTTATCCAGGAAAGACAGAGCCGTCTTGGGTCATGTTCGGAGCCCTGCCAACCCGTGGTGATGTAAAACGAAAGGGGATATCTGGTGTCATCTCTGGGAGATGCTGCGGGGGCGAGGACGGCCATGCATCATAAGACAAATGTTCCATTTATATGAGCTCTAAAGGAAAGGAGAAAGGGGAAGTAGGACAGTGATTTCAGATGCGAGATCAGACTTGACCTTTACACTCTTGAAAGGAGCACAGGCTGTGGCAGATCAGGGCTCGTCCCGTGGTCGGTTCTGTCTCTGACATTATGGCACCAGAGAACCGTTGGAGAGCAGGTCCGTGGCTTGCATGAAGCGGCTTCAGACATTGCAGGAGAGGCACCAGGGGATTGCACTTGTCCGTGAACCATTAGATGTTGTTTCCCTTGTATATGGCTGAGTTCCCGTTCTCTCTCCTTTGCCTGCTATCTGCTGTGACAGTGAGCTGCAAAGCAAGGGGCTGTGAGGACAGAGCACAAGGGGCTAGAGTTGGGAATGGCTGAGACCCACGATCCTGGCAGACCCTTGAAGGGTCCTTCTATAGTTCTTCTACAAGGCTGTCTTGGCAAAGACTGATTCCTGAATGTATTTGTAGGAGTAAAAGGAAACATCTCCCTCTTAAACAGAGGAAGATCGCAACAGATAATGAAAGCAGTGTGTGTACGCTAGAATAAAAAAGTCAGCCTATCCCGGTTGGCGCCTGTAGAGCTGGTCCTGATTGGCTCTTCTGTGGGGACTCCAGGACCATCCATGGCCCAAGAAAGATGTACAGTTGGCTTTAGATGTCTCCATTGTTTGTACTTTCGTTATTCATCACACCTTTCTAAGTCTTCAAATGTGTGCCACATCTTGGGTCTGGCATTGGTCATCCCATGGTCAACATGGAACTTTTACCAGGGGAACATTTTGAATAAAGGCACGGAAATGAGGACCTATACAGCAGATGACCTAGACGAGAGAATTACACAGCAGGTAGCTGAGAGGGAATGCTAGAGAGCAGGCTGGGGCGAGTTGTGGAGAATCTTGAATGCCAGGCTATTGAACACCATCCTTTTGGCAGTAAAGATTTTGATTGCCGAAGGGGTTTAAGCAAAGAGAATGACATAAAAATAAATAAAATGACATATAAATAAAACCTTCCTCTCAAGGTGATGGGCACAACATGAGCCTGTTAGAAAATGAATCTCGATGAAGTTTCATCCTTTTTTGAGGTGCAGCTCCCACCAGGTAAAGCTGCCAAAGGGTTAAACAGATTGTTGGACTTTTCCTTAATTTCCTTCCTCATCCCTAGTCCTGTTCATATGGATCCATGGCGGAGTGACCAGGGCAGAATTAGCTACCTCACAGGGACCTATGGGAGAAGATCACTGTGATTTTTAGATAATGCTAGAACAAAGTTGTTAAAATCTTTTCTCTTGAAAGGGTGGAGATGAAAGCAGCTGGGAGTAAAAATGAGCACCCCACCCTGAAACGCACTTTTTTTCCATGAATAAAAGGGGGAACCTCAATCACATGAGGCCGGGATTGTCTCAGTCATGTTCTTGGTAGTGTCGCCACATGAAAAGAGGAAGTTTGGAGGAGATCTCAGGGACCAAGGGGAAGGCTGTGTGTAAGGCAGGATGAAGAACAGGTGCATTAGTTAAGGAGGGATTCTTCCGTCTCAATCTATTTCTGTAATGCCTTCCTGACCACTACTGTGGCCAACCCTAAATAATCCAGTGCTAGTCCATAGCTCAAACCAGAGCAGGATCAAAATACTTCCTCAAGATTCCTCTCCACTCATAGGTATGGTTTTCTTGCTTCATCTCGTTTTGTTCTGCTTTAATGTGTGTTGGGGGTCAAGTCCCTATGTGTGTATCGTGGGGGTCTCGTACAGCCTTGGGAAGCCACAGGTGTGGTCATGTCACCTGATACTTGCTGAGAACAGCAGCTGGTCTTCCTTCAT